CCTTTTGTATTAGAAGGATAGACATGTCACAGGAACTTTAATGTCCTGAAGACAGTGTGTAAAGAAATGTTTAATAATTAAAAATAAAATTATTTCAGGTTTGAGGCTCTGTCAGGCCACCAARCCTTTATTTCTTTGTTACATATTTAAGGAGATTATTTACCGGAGTGACACAGAAATGTGKTTTTAAATCATGTTAATGTCAGCTAATAAAATCGTTGTTTGTTGGAAACACTGATAAACCAACAGAGAGGCGTGTCCACCAGCCCGGGTCAAACATTCAGCTCCTTCCAGGCAGCCATGATTGAAATGTTTAATGAGTTTCTGTTCCTCCACTCGAGGCGTAAATCGTTTTATTTCTCCGTGTTTCTGTCGGTCTCTGTCTGCTGACGTTCATTCATCAGAGCTCGGCTCCGACATGAGCCGAACAAAAGCCGTCACCGCACAAAAAGCTGTTTTCCTGCCTGAGAGACACGATTCGTCCCCCGTCAACAGGCGGCGGCGTCACCTGCGCCGCCAGGAAGCACGCCTCCCTCTGTTTGTCTGGCAGCTGGATGTGTGCCGATCAGACGTCTCATTTATTTTAGTTTCAGGCGCTTCGGCTGCTGCTGAGCGCCTCTGATTTACACCGTGTGTTTACACTCAGCTTGCTTGTTTTTGTTTGTTTACAGACTCAGAGGTGATCTATAAGAACAGCGACGGACACGTCATCAAATTCAACATGGTGACCAACGAGACGGAGATCATCCTGATGAACACCACGTTTGTACGTTCAAACAACACCTTAAATACATTGTTATAATTATATTTAAACGGATTTATACTTTATGATCATTTTACGACAAATAAATTCACATATATAAATCAAATCAACTGTTTACATGAACTAATGACTAGTTTTATAACTTTGTTTTTCCAACAGGTGAATTTCAACGTGGCCAAATATTCTGTGTCTCCTGATCTAAAATACGTTCTGTTTGCGTACGACGTCAAACAGGTGAGTTTCACACCTGGACTGACCGTTTGAAAATGTTGGTTAGAGTTAAGYGGTGCAGCAGGTTGGGCAGAAATCACTGTGTTAAAAATAAAATGTGTTTTTAACGGAAATGAACAACATTACTTTATTTAACATTTACTTCAACTATAAAACCAGACGTAAAAAGACATGAAGTCATTTAGTTTTTTAAATTAAACAAATTATTGTCACACAGATGTTGACGTTGTTTACACAGAGTATTAGAGGTAAACAACCAGTGCAGAGCTGCTTTATAAAAGGCTAACCTAAGCTTTAGACATTTACCTTTTCTGTTAGCTCTCGAGCTAAAATATATATTTATATATAAAGTTTTAGCTTCAGAGCTAATATACTGTATATATATGATGAAATATGTCGTTAGCTCCAGAGCTAATAATTATAGCATTAGCTCCCAAGCTTATAATAAAGTGTTAGCTTGCAAGATTTGTATGTCTATAGCTCCAAAGATAATTATTTTAATAATTGTGTTTCCATCCAGTTGTAGAGTGAATTTTTATCGAACTTTTCAAAATTCGCAAAAAAAATTAATAAATAAAAAATTGAATCTAGACTGTTTCCATCTAGTTTCCCTATCGACTGTTTGATGCGAATAAACGAGGCTACGCAACACGTGATTACGTCAGACGAGGCTACGCAACACGTGATTACATCAGATGAGGCTACGCAACGCGTGATTACGTCAGAAGAGGCTACGCAACACGTGATTACATCAGATGAGGCTACGCAACGCGTGATTACATCAGATGAGGCTACGCAACGCGTGATTACGTCAGACGAGGCTACGCAACGCGTGATTATGTCAGACGAGGCTACGTAATGTAATTACATCAGACGAGGCTACGCAACATGTGATTACGTCAGACGAGGCTACGCAACACGTGATTACGTCAGACGAGGCTACGCAACGCGTGATGACATCAGACGAGGCTACGTAATGTAATTACGTCAGACGAGGCTACGCAACGCGTGATTACGTCAGACGAGGCTACGTAATGTAATTACGTCAGACGAGGCTACGCAACGCGTGATTACGTCAGACGAGGCTACGTAATGTAATTACGTCAGACGAGGCTACGCAACGCGTGATTACGTCAGACGAGGCTACGTAATGTAATTACGTCAGACGAGGCTACGCAACGCGTGATTATATCAGGTGAGGCTACGCAATGTGATTACGTTAGACGAGGCTACGCAACGCGTGATTACGTCAGACGAGGCTACGTAATGTAATTACGTCAGACGAGGCTACGCAACGCGTGATTATATCAGGTGAGGCTACGCAATGTGATTACGTCAGACGAGGCTACGCAATGCGTGATTATGTCAGACGAGGCTACGCAACACGTGATTATGTCAGACGAGGCTACGCAATGCGTGATTATGTCAGACGAGGCTACGCAATGTGATTACGTCAGACAAGGCTACGCAATGCGTGATTACGTAAGACGAGGCTACACAATGTTATTACGTCAGACGAGGCTATGCAATGCGTGATTACGTCAGACGTCGGCGACAAGCTTTGAGATAGTAAACAGGAAGTGAAACTTGCTAACTAGCAGAGGCTAATCATCTCGGGACAATGGAGCGATTTTTTTCGTGAATGCCTTGCTATTGGGCAAGTTGTAATTATTCTATCTATTCAGCGAGTACAGGCTATGTTTAACGCTGCCAGGAGACGTAGCCTAACCCTAACCGTAGGCAGGAAAGCGGAAACAGCTGAAAGTCACGTGAGGTAAATATGCTCTACGTCAGAATTTATTCGGCAAAAGTGATTCCATCTCCGTTTTGCGCATTAACTACTTTGTGAATCATCCAAAAACCACCTCAAGCGAGCGTAAAAACTTTTTAGCGAATTGAGGATTTTTTTTTTCGAATTTTGCTGTTTCCATCTGACTTTTTTTTTCGCATTTTTAATGCGACATTTCTAAATGCGCATTAAAAAGCCTTGATGGAAACATGGTTAATGTTAGCTTCATAGCTTATAAATTGGCATTAGCTCCCGAGCTATTTTATGTCTAAAGCTCCTGAGCTAATAAATTTAACGTTAGCTTCTGAGCGAATTTACTCAAATTTGTTTTATCATTTCAACTTATATATTCTGGAGAACATAGAAATTAATACCAAATAATTGTCACACATTAAAGCTTTTTAGCCTTGACTCCTTGTGTTTTAGTCTGAAGTGTAACCTATAATCATCACCATCATCCCAGAATGCATTGCATTAAATGTTTTCATGTTAAACAGCAACTTTAAATAAAAGAGAAATGTAAACTGAGATCAGTTCTGATGGTTACATGTTCATGTTTCCTGTTCTATAGATAAATATAACAAATGTAAGATTCTAAACATGGATCTTATTTATTTAACTTGTAAAGATTTTTGTGTTTTGGCTCTTTTATATTGTATTTTGAGTCTTCGTCACTCTTTAAGCTCATATTTGTCTCATTAAAGAAGTATTTTTACAGTTTCAGAGTTCAGGTTTGAGGCAGCAGAAGCTCCATCGGCAGCCAGAAACAAAGATGCTAAATGAGATATGTAAATTGGACCCTCCACTCTGGAGGGGATCAACTGTGAGGATTAGTGACACAGAGATTAATCACAGCTCATTTGCATATTTTGGATAAAAGGTTACAAACTCAGAATAATGGAGCCAATAAAGCTGGAAGCTGCGTTTATTTTTAGCTGAAGGTTAAACTGATGGAGGCAGAAGCTGAAGTCTGTTTGTTCTGATAATAAATAGAAACAAAGCTCATCACCTTTAACACCAGGTTTCACCACCTCATCACTGAACCTGACACGTTGTGTTGCTAATGGTTAGCTGTAGGCGTGGTTCTGCTAATCAGCTAACAGATAATAGCAGAACTAATTTTTCATTTAGTGGATTAGCATTTCTGCCAACTTTGAAAACAGTTAGTGTAATTTAGCTTCCGCTAACTTTCAGCTGAGGTCTGGAGCTATTTGGACAGAGACAACGTGTCTCTAGTCCTGGTTCTGCACATTATCACAACGTTTTGAACAAAACCATTCAGGTCAGGTAAAGTTCAGACTCACAAAATGATTGCATAGAAATGTGAGGAACTAAAACACTTTTAAACACAATCCCTTCATTTCAGGGCTCAGATATAATTGGACAAGTTGGTTGAAAAGTCTTTGACGATGACAGCAATAGTTCTTTTAATAGAGAAATCAATGTTTAACAAATAAAAATTATATTTAAGTTATTTTGTGCAGTACAAAAGACACATTTGGTATATATTTTAAAACATAAAATTATAGYRCATAATGTGTTTGTTTGCACTGAAAGTTATGGAGATGGTTAAATATTTGTATGACTAWATCTGACTCAAATGTTTTTTATTAAATATATTAAAAACACTAAAATGACGAATATAAAATATGGAAAAGTTGTTTAAAATCTAAACTGTGTACTTTAACTAAGAACATGGACAGTGTGTAGTGTTGTGACTGTACTATACTGTGTACTTGTGTGTGGTGGGGGGTGGTAAGAGTTATCGTGCATTATCGAGGTGAACTGATGAATATATGTAATGTTGATTTTAGGCCGTATCACCCAGGTTTAGCTGAGATCAGGTGACTGACTTGGTCATTCTAGAATATTCCACTTCTTTGCTTTAATAAACTCTGAGTATCTTTGGTTTTATGTTTTGACTCATCTGGATCTGGAATATAAAACGCTGACTAATCAGTTTGTCATCAAAGTCCAGTCTAGCCTTGTTGTTCTTGAGGCTTCAGAGTGTTTTGCAGTGTGCAGTGCTTCTGTTTATGGTACATCTGGATATTAATCAGTCTACCTCTTAAGAAGGGGTGTCTCTTCACCACGGCCTGCTGGGTKTTTGATGGCTTCTTTGTTTAACATGAAAGAAACAGAATTTAAATATAAATAATTATGACTCTGTTTGATTGACAGCTCCTGGATTTACCCGTCGCTCCGATTTGTTCGGCTTTTTCCTGCCTCAGAGCTTCTGTTTGTTTCAGGCTGTCAGAGGAAAAAAAAAACAGAGATTCTTTTTTTTCTCCTCCAGCTGCGTGGCTCCGGATCGTTTTAAAAACAATCATCAGGTTTTCATTTTCATACARATGAGTTTTTATTCCAGTCCCACCTGCAGGACCAGCTTCTGATAAAACAATAATGAGCTAAAGACCGACAAACACAAATATATTCGGCTGCTTTCAGGAGAGGAAAACAACAGCTGAGCTTCAGCTCGTGTTTGTTAGGAAAACAGGGAGAAATCAGAAAAATAAGTATTTTCTGTTAAAATGTTGAGATGAATAACAGCCGAAGTTTGGCAGAGCAGCTAAAAATAAAGAGAAACAATAAGAAAAAAGCTTAAATTATTAAAAACAAAAGCTAAGAGCCAAATTTAGCAAAACAGTAGCTAAAAGTTGAGACCTGTAGGCCAGTAGCAAAACACCAAGACAGTAGCTAAAAGCTAACATTAACAAAATAAAAGCTAAAGTTAAATCAAGCAAATTTTAAAACAAATGCTAAGAGCTAAGGTTAGCAAAACAGTAGCTAAAAGTTGAGACCTGTAGGCCAGTAGCTAAACACCAAGACAGTAGCTAAAAGCTAATATTAGCAAAATAAAAGCTAAAGTTAAATCAAGCAAATTTTAAAACAAAAGCTAAGAGCTAAGGTTAGCAAAACAGTAGCTAAAAGTTGAGACCTGTAGGCCAGTAGCTAAACACCAAGACAGTAGCTAAAAGCTAATAAAGAAACATTTAAACTGAAGATTTTATAGAAAAGCATTTTTAAGGATTTGAAGAGATCTTTTGTTTGTCTGTGAAGAAAATAAAATATTAAAAACATTTCAAAACCTAAAAGCAACAGCTGTAATGTTCTGAATGAGCCAAAGGTTTTGACAGCTAAAACAGCTGAAGTATTTAGAAACAGCAACAGAAGGTGAGGACCTGCTGATTCTGTGTATAAACTTTATTAGCTGTGTTTAGTAATGAAGTCAGCCTGAATGAATCCTGCTCCTGATGGGAGGTTTGACCTCAGACCTTCAGGAAGCTTCGCTCAGTTCCTCTGATGGATTCAGTGTTTTCTGTTCTTCTCACAGGTTTATCGTCACTCCTTCATGGCGTCTTACAGCATCTATAACATCCACACACGGTGAGTTTCTGTTAAAGATCAGTCGTCACACCGAGATTAAAAATAATTTACAGGTGTTTGATTCAGATTTTGAAGCTTTAGTAAAGTGTTTCCTAAACTTTTCAGACTTGTGTTCCCCCGAGACATTTAGTCATCCCACCTGTACCCCTTCAGTCAAATGTAATGATGATTCTCCAAAACTATATATATAATGTACTACAACTGATTACACTGTTTTATACTAGATTTCATTTGGTGGTAATTCCGTGTTTCTGTTTTCTACATTGTGGAAATCATAGGGCCCTACATACCAGTCCTATTTTTATTCATTATTTTTACAACCCTGGGACATGTTTAGATGTACCCCCTGGAAAATGCTCGTGTACCTCTGGTTGGGAATCATTGCTTAGACCAGTGTGAAGGGCTGAAGGAACTGTCCAAGGTCTTGAAAGTGCTGAAATGTTTCAGGACTTTAGACAGTTTGAAGGAACTGTCCAAGGTCCTGAAAGTGCTGAAATGTTTCAGGACTTTAGACAGCTTGAAGGGCTGAAGGAACTGTCCAAGGTCCTGAAAGTGCTAAAATGTTTCAGGACTTTAGACAGTTTAATGGAACTGTTCAAGGTCCTGAAAGTGCTGAAATGTTTCAGGACTTTAGACAGTTTGAAGGGCTGAAGGAACTGTCCAAGGTCCTGAAAGTGCTGAATTGTTTCAGGACTTTAGACAGTTTGAAGGACTAAATGAACTCTCCAAGGTCCTGAAAGTGCTGAAATATTTGAGGACTTTAGTTTGGRGGACTGAAAGAACTGTCCAAGGTCCTGAAAGTGCTGAAGTGTTTCAGCACTTTAGCTGCTGGGTGTCTGATCAGGTCTGCTGATCCTTCTGTTCCAGGGAGGTCTGGGAGCTGGACCCCCCTGAGGTGGTGAACTCGGTCCTGCAGCACGCAGCCTGGGGAGTCCAGGGCCAACAGCTGGTGAGAACTGAAACCTTCAGGCTGAATTCACTTAAAGCTGTAAACATTTAGCTGCTTCTGGCTCACAGCAGCTGAAGTTAGAAAAGATTTAAAGAATGAAAATCAGCTGGTCCTTCTCTCAGGGTTTATTTTAGCTGATAAATTTATCTTCAGCCACTCAGTTCAAATAAAAAGCTGGATCAAATGAGACCTGCGTAGACCTGGACCTGGTGGACCTGCAGCAGGTTTTAACTGGACCGGATCAAGGAGACCTGCTGGTCTGGACCTTCTGAAAATCTGAAACATTTCAGCTCTTAGTTTAAAGAAATAACAATCAGGGAAAAAAAGCTAAAATTATTATAACAAGAACTAAGCTAAACAGTAGCTAAAACTTAAGATCTGTAAGGCAGCGGCTAAATGCCAAAACAGTAACTAACAATAATTAAAAGCCAAAATTAGCAACACATTAACTAAAATCTAATACTAAAGAAGAGCTAAGACCTTTGGAACAGTAGCTAAAAGCTAAAGTTAGCAAACTAATAGCTAAAGCAGAAACAAGCAAAACAAAAACAAAATTATGGCTGAGAGCTTTGTAACGGAGATTTGTTTTGAGAAATGACTAGCCATTAGCTCATCAGTTTAAAGTCATGGCGCTATCATCAACAGGTAAGATATTAACTGTTCCTAACATCTCCACAGAACCTCCTTTATAACGGTTTTAAAATCATTTTAGGTCTTTTAAATAAAAACTGTAGAAACTTGTATTTTCAAAGAGTTTTTGTAATAAAAACCTTTATATTCAGAGTATTTATCAGGATGAAACGTTTGTCTTTAAGTCCTRTTTTCTGTTTCCACAGATCTACATCTTTGAAAACAACATTTATTATCGATCTCAGGTGAAGAGTAACTCCCTCAGACTGACGTCTTCAGGAAAAGAAGGGATCATCTTTAACGGCATCGCAGACTGGCTCTACGAAGGTGAAACGAACTTTTATAAACACTTCCTGTCTGATCAAAAGGAGGCGAGGAGCTAAAGACACGAGTTTATAAAAGTTATCAAATATTCATGTTTGTTCTGCTCCAAACACAAAGTGTCAGTTTTTATTCCTGCTGCTGCTAATTATTACTTAATGAAGTATAATTAAAGAACAATAAATGTTTGCTGTTTTCAGCAGCTTCAGAGGATTAATTAAGGGCTGTAGAAAAACAGTAATTAGACACATTTGATGAAGTAAATCAAAGCTTTTTGTTTGTGTTAAAGGTGATTCTGAGGGTTTTTATCTCAGAGAAACTCTCTTTCTGTTTGGACAGAGGAGATCCTGCAGACACACGTGGCCCACTGGTGGTCTCCTGACGGGGAGAGGCTGGCCTTCCTGGTCCTCAATGACACCCTGGTCCCGAACATGGCTCTGCCTCGGTTCACCGGAACCACGTACCCCAAGGGCAAACAGTACCCCTACCCTAAGGTGAGTTATTAYTACTACAGTAAATTAAATTAAATCTAGTTTAAATTGAAATGAACTCACTGTCATAAACCATGTAAACAACAGGATCAGATACAAATATTATTATTTTTTTAATTTAGTTTGTTTTTATGAAACTTATAAGTGGGCCTGACTGAGCTCACACACGGGCCWCATGTGGACCCCGAGCCGTCACTTGGATAGCCCCGATTTAGACTTTAATTTATTTAAAGACAAAAGATGAAAAAAAAAATAGATTCAAGTCAACATTTTGTTTGTTTTTAATTATTTCTTCATATCATAAAATATTACTGTTGATACTGATACCAGTATTTTTACCAGTACTCATACAAAATACCCAGATACCAGTATGCGTTTTAAAGTCATTGTGTAATGTTTAAGTTTTAACTCAAAGTACTCTGTATTAGTACTTAGTATTGTGTACTAATACTAGGGGTAGTGGTTTCCCGATACCAATACCTGTACAGATACTGGTATCAAAGGAATGTGTTTTTAAAATTATTGCGTAATGTTGAAGTACTAACTCAGTGAGTACTTTGTATCGGTACTCAGTATCAGCAGGTACCCAAACTCAAGTACTTTTACTCATAWTCAGTTTGTGAAAAACTCTTTAAAAGATTAATGGTGAATACTTGATACTAGCATTTTCACAAGTACTTATACAAACTGCCTCAATACTAATATTATGGTGTCCCGATACCGAGTACAAGTATTAATACGGCTTCTCTGTATTTCTGATTGTAGTGTTTGATACAAATATTGATATTAATACGTCTCCAATGAAGTAMTTATACTTGGTACTGGGGAGTACCCAAAGTGAAGTACTTGTACTTGCTTTAAGAGAAACTGGTACTGGGACCCCCTAATGATGTCCTGATACTTGTATTTTCACAAGTACTCACAAAAAATACTCAATACTCTGAACTGATACTAATACCAGTATGGATTCTGGTACCAGGACTCCTCTAGATAATAATAACAATAATAATAGTAATAATAATAATAATAATAATAATAATAAAATGATAATTAATAATAATCAGTTTAATGTTCAGAGTTTTTAAATAAAGTCACAAGGTTTATTTTCTGAATCTTGTTGAACAGTTTGAATGTTTTCATGTTTCTGTTCAGTTTATATTTTTATTCTCAGTTTTTTCCACTGGAGGCAGATTTAAAACGCTCTGAGCTTCATGTATAATTCAGTCTGAACCACTGGAAGCTGCGTGTTTCTGTGCTGCTCTTATATAAGAGGAGCTGTGAGTTCTGCACCTGTTCTGTTGCTGCAGGCGGGTCAGCCCAACCCKGCGGTGAAGCTCTACGTCGTCAATATTTACGGGCCGACGCACACGCTGGAGCTGATGCCTCCGGAGACGCTGAAGCTGCGGTGAGAGGAGCTGCTGACGGACCGCTCTGACGTTTGAAACTTTTTATTTTCTGACACTCTGCGGCTTTAATTAAAGCCTCTTCCACACTCGGGCTGGTTCTGGTTCTGGTTCTGCTGGAAGAGAAGAGGAATACAAATAAATCATGAGGACATTTTCTCACCTCAGGCAGGAAGTAAAACATTTATTATCGACAGTAAAAGCTGTTTATTTCCTCTGAACAGGTGAGACGTTCAGGTGCCGCTCACTGTGGGACAAAAATAAAGATTTATTGGTTTTAAAGTAAAGATGCAGCAGATTAASAGATTAAATTCAAAAATACTTTATCCCTGATTGTTTACAGAAACAATAAACATCCTAGGAGCTCCCAGGGGGCGGAGCTACGAAAACAAGAGAACATTTTTTAACTCTAACGTCTCTGCTGAGATGAGTTTATAACTGATCTGTTTTTGTTTTCACAGGGAACATTATGTGACCATGGTGAAGTGGATCAGTAAGACCAGGACCGCAGTCAGGTGGCTGAACCGGGCCCAGAACATCTCCATCCTGACCGTGTGCGACACCACCACCGGAGCCTGCGTCACGGTCCGTTTTTACCAAACACTGCAGTTTTCCTCGACTAACGAGCCATCAACACAGAAGCTGTTTTTATCTGATTTATGACCTGTTGGCTTGCCGTACGAGATGATTTGAAACAAACAAGCAGCTCGTTAAGCTCCTGCTTTAGAACGAGTCTTAATGATTAAATCTARTGTTTTCTGCTCCAATCAGACTTATTTTAAGCTCAGGTTTGATAAAGCCGCTCAAGTTTGAAACTGAGATAAGTTTTAATCTCATAGAGTTTGACAGCTGCCTCACAAATCAGATGAATTATTGGACATAAGTTCATTAAAAGTAAATCAGTCAGTCCGGTCACACATCATCGATCGTCTCGTTAACAGCTCTAATTAATGAATTCAGTCCTCGCTTCACGTCCAGTGAAACCGTTTCAGAGCAGCTCTCCTCCTAACGAAGCTGAGCAGCTGTTGGTCTGGTTCTGAGTCAATGGTTTCACACAGGAGAGGAGGATGTTCTGCAGGACAACAGGAACTCCTGAACGTTTGTGCTGAAATAAAATCCTCCATGTTGGACTGAGTGCCTCATCATTAACCCTGCAGTTGAACCGTTGGATCGTCTCCAGCTGCTGCAGCTTCTGATTTTCTCTGATTTGCACAAAAAAATAAAAACTTGTCATCCGGCCAAGAACGGGCTCAGCTCAGAGTTTGGCGGCGGCGCTCAGGATCCTGGTGCCAACCGGAGGAAACAGGCTGAAAACGCTGTTCCCGGCGGCTCGTTGGAACAAACTGCGTTTATTCTGAAGCCAGAGGAAAGTGAAAACAAACGGTTTTGTTCGGACATCATTTGAATAAACAGTTCTGAAATATTAATGTAAAGTTTTGTCATTTAAAACCTGACTTTGCCTGCAGCAGCAGCAGGGTTTTAATCAGAGTGAATTATTTATATTTTATTTGTTTTTCAGAGACATGAAGAAAGCTCTGAGCTCTGGCTTTCAAAGCAGGTAAACTTTTAGATTTATTTATAAAACCTTTGCTCCTGGATCTTTATTTGTTTCATTTTTCACAGACGACATAAAGGATTTATTTCACTGTTTCTAAGGAAGTGTTAGTTTTACTGTTTACATTTATTTCAGGTGGTGGGCATGGGTCTGCTAACAGCTAACAGTACTAATGTGTCGTTTAGCTGATTAGCTTTGTCAATACTTTTTAAAACCACTAGCAGACCAATTAGCTTCCACTAAATTACATTTTGCCAATTTTAAGTATGCTAACTGCTAACAATTCTACTGTGTAGTTTAACAAAATAGTTTTAATACTTTTTACAACCACACGACCAATTATCTTCAACTAAATTACATTTAGCCAACTTTAAGTATGCTAACAAGCTAACAGTACTAATGTGTCGTTTAGCGAATTAGCTTTGTTGCTATTTTTTAAAACTGCTAGAAGACCAATTAGCTTCCACTAAATTATATTTAGCCAACTTTAGGTATGCTAAGAGCTAACAAGCTAACAATACTAATGTGTCATTTAGTGGATTAGCTTTGTTGCTACTTTTTACAACCACTAGCAGACCAATTAGCTTCCACTAAATAATATTTATCCAACTTTAAGTAAGCTAACAGCTAACAGCAAACAACACTAATGAGTTATTTAGCAGATTAGCTTTGTCGCTACTTTTTACAACCACTAGCAGACCAATTAGCTTCCACTAAATTACATTTAGGCAACTATAGGTATGCTAACAGCTAACAACACTAATGAGTTATTTAGCAGATTAGCTTTGTCGCTACTTTTAAAAAATGCTAGCAGACCAATGAGCTTCCACTAAATTACATTTTTAAGTGTGCTAACAGCTAACAAGTTAACAGGGTTGTGTCCATCCCACCTGACGCAGACTGAGGGATGGTCRTCTTARCGGTTAGCTGTTAGTGTTAGCTTCTGCTAATTTGTACATTTTTAGCAGTTTAGCATTAGCTTTYGCTACATTTTTGGTGGCTTGAGTTAGCGAAGGTAATTGTTTTGTTAGCTGTACCTGAAATCTGAGTTCTTCTGTTTCATCAGTTTTTGTYTTGATGAATCTTTAAAAACCAAAACTAGATTTAAGTAAAAAATTAAAAGAAAAAAGTGCAGCTCGATCAGGAAAGGGGTGTTTTGAATAATGGTGGCAGAGTTTTGTACAACACTAATAAAAATTAATAACTAAATATGAGTGACTGAAGCTGTCCTCTACAGAACCAGGAACCCGTGTTCTCCAAAGACGGGAACCGTTTTTTTCTGACTGTTCCTGTGAAACAAGGAGGACGAGGAGAGTTCCACCACATCGCCATGTTCACCACACAGGTAGTGTTTTAACGTTTTCATTATTAAACATTATTTTTACATGTTCGGACTTCAGATAAAACATATTTTTAATGTTTTACAGTTCAGAGCGGATCAAAACGAAGTCCGACATCTAACGTCAGGAAACTGGGAGGTGACCAAGATCATCTCCTACGACGAGAACACAGATAACCTGTGAGTTCAAACTCAAGTATTTAAAAACAAATTCAACTAATTTATTTTAATCATACTGTTTGAATCATGAAAGGCTGCAGAGGTGTACATCATGTCTGTTATTGTCTTCAGGTATTTCCTCAGCACAGAGGGATCATCACGAAGACGACAACTTTACAGGTTTGTCTTTAAAACTTTATTTATCATCAATGAAAAGCTTCAAATCTTTGTTTAAACTGGTTTTAAAACCAAGAATCGACTCAAGTTAAACCCAACATTATCATTTCTTAAATCTCATTTAGTAGTTTGTTGTTCCAGTTTGACAGTAGTTCTTGTTTACCTGTTAGTGTGGTAAACAAGGTCAACTGTATCACCTGCTGTTTTAAGAGGAATATTTGCTCTTATTTAAATGTAAATTTTGTCTCCTCAGTGTTAAAACGGTGGGTCTGTTCCCTCGAAGGTGTTTGACCTGTGAGCTGAACAAAGCTCACTGTTTGTACTTCGACGCCGACATCAGCGCCACGAACCAGCACGTCATCCTGAAGTGTAAAGGTTTGTTCTGACAGACAGCTCCATGATCTGTGATTTAAAGCTTCTGAGCCTGAATCCTGTTGTTTTTACTGTTGTCATGGACTAATTATTTATATCTGTTTCACCTTGACACTGTCCACCACTCGTATCTTTCTGATAGCTCATTTCGCTCTCGTAGTCTGTTTGTTTCCGGACGTCAGGACTCCATAACGGACTGAACTCTCTTGTTTGATAACGGACTCTTTGGGCTGGGAGCCCAGTCATTGGCTGGACAGCATATTTGGCAATCTGTGATTGGTTGTAAACTGTCACATGGTGTTAACATAATGTTATATTACTGGCTGTTTTCTGCTGACAGTCAGTCACAAWCATGCAGAATTTCCTGATTCAGTTCTGTTTGTTTGTCGCTCATAATTAAAYCATATTTGATTATCATACACGCAGACTTTTCTGGCATTATTCCAACGTGTTTCTGCTTTTTGCGACGACAACGTCATAGGCAGCCTAAACATACAGCTTTACTAAACCTGACTTAGTGGACTCAAACCTGACTTGGTAGACTCAAATTCGACTAAGCAGTGTTTATAAGGAGTTTYGGCTGTAGCTTTTATAACGTTGTAAAAATCAGATGTAAAATAATTGTTTGTGTTTCAGGTCCAGGAGCTCCGACTGTGATTTTACACAACCTGAGTAACTCCAGTAAGTCCAGAAGAAACGTTTTAATTCAAACCAGTTCTAACTGAAACATGTAAATMGTTTTTTGTTTTTGTTTTTAAGCCTTTAACTTATAAACTTTATTAATCTTTTATTAAATTAAACATCAAAATATCATTTGTCTTTTAATACTTTAGTTGTTTTATGGGACTGCAGCTTAAAAACAAACTAAAAACATTTATTGTGGTAAAAACAAAACCAGAAAAAGGAAATAATTTGTTGTCATTAAATAACATTATTTTCACTCTGACCAGTCTGCACCTTCGTTACTCTAAACATTAGCAGCTGAAGTGATTTTGAGTTTAATTATCGAAACACAAAACTAATTGTTTTTAAATTAATTAGCTGAAACTCAGAATTTAAATTGTTTAGTTAAGATGACTGAATTCAGACTAACTTTGTTTTTTATTTAACTGATCACAAAATGCAGAAACAGTTTTATTTTATCAGCTGAACAAGAATAAATCCATTTAAAACTTATTTAAATCAGTTTATTAAGTGTCTCAAAGTGAGGTCAAAGGTCAAACAGGGTTAAATCCTGACCTTCACCTTGTTTCCATCGTAAAAACAGRTTTTTATTAAACACATCCAGGACTCAGTTTTACTCCAGCGACAGGTTCAGCTCTCACTTCCTGCACATTTTCTTCAAAAAAGAATCCATCGTTGTGTCGTTTTAATCCACCTCTGTAATCTCCAGATTATTACATCCTGGAGAATAACTCTGTGCTGAAGGCGGCTCTCAAGTACAAGAGGATCCAGAAGACGGAGTTCAGGACCGTCCCTATCGAACACTTTGGTGAGAGATCAGGTCTGTACAGTGGATCAGAGGAACGTCGGTGGTTTTACTCATCTGTAACGTGTCCACAGATTTACCCCTGAAGATCTCCTACCCTCTGGACTTCTCAGAGTCTCGTCATTATGGACTCCTGCTGGTGGTGTACGTACAGAACCTGGACCTCCTGATGGGACCAGGTTTCTCTCTGTTGTATCATATACAGTATGCAAATATGTATGGCATGCCAAGGTACCATAATTAGGGAGGTACGACACGCCAATATATATATAAATCATATATAGCAGGACATTGTTATATATGTTTAAATATATATGGAATGCTGAATTATATAATTAAAAAGGTAAGGCAGGTTGTTGCATTGCATATTTAAGTATGGCAGGCAATTGTATATTTAAATAAGTATGGCAGTCTGTTGTATTCTATAATTAATAAGGTATGGAATGCCGTTGTATCGCATAATTAGGTAAGTAGGGCAGGCCATTGAATAATTTAAGAGGTATGGCATGCCATATATTTAAATAAGTATGGCAGGCAATTGTATATTTACATATGTACGACAAGCCATAGTACTGTATAATTATTGATGCAAAGCAGACTGTTGTATCATAAAATAGAGGAAGTATGGCAAGCCATTGTATCATATAATTAATAAATGGCAGTATATATTTTCTTCAGTTTCAAATCCATTTTTAAATCTCAGTTTTAAAAATAATTTAGAGCAAACTTTGTCCTCRGTTCAGCTTCATACAACTCTGACAGCTGATTCTTTAGCTAAAYGTTTGTTAGCATGGCTAACTGGGCCCATGGTTGACTCTTGCTTTAGTCCTGTTATTTTAAAACAAAATGGCGGCCCTTACAGAGTTTAGAGAAACTGTAAGTTGACTTTAAAGGCTGTTCGGAGTTTTCCTCGTTGACTCCAGAGACAGAACTCTGATGTGTTTTTTGTTCTGTGTTCAGTGACAGCGCCCCCGGTGGTCAGGCTGTGAACGACCGGTTCTCCCTGAGCTGGGACTCGGTCCTGGTCAGCTCCGATAACGTGGTTGTGGTCCGCCTGGAYGGGCGGGGCAGCGGGTTCCAGGGCCAGAGGATCCTGCATGAAGTCCACCAGAGACTGGGGACGGTGGACGTTCAGGACCAGATCGCTGCAGTCGAGTACGGCTTTTTATCTTACCTTAAAACGACAAACATCTGTGTTTTATAATAAAAATGATACAAGATGATACAAATACAAGATGTAAACAAATAACACAACTTATAAAAATACACAAATCTAAGCTGTTAAACTTTAAATGTTACATGTATGTTGTCGYGTGTGTTTATTTAAACCATGTTTGTTGTTTTTTGTGTGTTTCAGATACATGATCAAGTTTCCGTACATCGATCGGACACGGATAGCTGTGTTTGGAAAGGTGAGGAGTTGTTTTAAAGCAGGTTTGTGTTGTGTGCTGACAGTAATAATAATAATAATAATAATAACAGTAGTAATAATAGTAAGTGTGGTTTGCAGGGCTACGGAGCGTACCTGACCTTAATGATGCTGAAGTCTACAGACAACCTGGTGAAGTGTGCGTGTGCCACGTCTCCAGTGACTGACTGGAAGCTGTACGGTGAGGAAGACGTCTGATGGAACAAAGATTTATTATCTGTTCAGCAGCAGCTGTTAACATCCTTCACTTCTTCACGCAGCCTCGGCCTTCTCAGAGAGATACCTGGGCATGCCGTCACGAGACGACAGCAGGTACCAGGTGAGTGTGCTCCTCCTCCTCCTCCTCCTCCTCCTCCTCCTCCTGCCTGATGTTTGGAGCTCATCATGGCTGCAGCCTTTGTTTGGTTTGTTGTGTTCCTCTCTGCTGCCTCAGACCTCATCTTCACATTCAGGAGGCGCCTAATGWATCGAGATCGTTTGTCGTTCTTTGTTCTCCTTCAGCTCCGGGGTTTACCGGGTTCTAAAAGGATTTAWATCGGACCTCAGGTGAACAAAAACTGGTTCTAGATCCTCCCACAGGATCAGCACCTGCTGCCCATCATTCTAAGGTCAAAGGTCATTTAGAGTCTACCATTCACCCCGAAGGTCATCATGGCTTGTTTAGAACCACAAGACTTCTGGACCAGAACCTTTACCCAGAATGCACTGCAGCTGTCAGCACAGAGGAGGGCTGATGATCAGGTGAACTCCTCTGGAGACCAACGGGTTCTAGAGTCAAACTGGGTCCAACAGAACGGGTCAAAAAGAACAGAACCAAGGTCCAGTCAGAGTCCAGACTCAAACCGTGTGGTGGGACCTTCAGAGATTAGAAAGAGACGGTGCAGCTAAAGGAGGTCCTACAAGATCCTGGATCAGGTCCGACTATAATCCTTTTAGAACCTGGTTTTGTTCCAGAACCCTGGACCTGGTCTGTAGATCCACGTCTCTTTATCTGATGTTTGTGTTCTCCTCTCAGTTCTCCAGTCTGCTGCAGAACGTCCAGGCTCTGAGGGAGCAGACCCTGATGCTGGTCCACGGCACGGCCGACGGTAAGAGCAAATAAATAAATTAAATAAAACAATAAATAAAATAACGGCACGGCGAGGATGTCGGGGGTAACCAGGCCAACAGTTTGTAATCAGACTAAAGAAAAGTCGTTAATCTAAAGTGATCCTGGGACGTCTGGAGGAAAACAACCTGATGAGTCATTCATGTGGATCAGTGCAGGTTCTGATGTCCTCAGGATTCTGCTGACTCACCTTTTTATCTTCTCTTCCAGCCAACGTTCACTTCCAGCACACTGCTGAGCTCGTCAAGAACCTGGTGAAGGTTGGAGCCAATTACTCCATGCAGGTGAGTCAATCTGTTTGTGGACCAGAAACTGAGCCAGTACTGGTCCACATCGTGACTCAGTACTGGTCCACATCGTGACTGGTCCACGTCCACATCGTGAGCCGGTACTGGTCCACATCGTGACTCAGTACTGGTCCACATCATGACTCAGTACTGGTCCACATCGTGACCTCAGTACTGGTCCACATCGTGAGCCGATACTGGTCCACATCGTGACTCAGTACTGGTCCACATCGTGACTCAGTACTGGTCCACATCGTGACTCAGTACT